CACATTAGACATCGTAATGCCAAATTGGTCGACATCGCCCTATTCTAGTCCGAACCGTGCCCAGCCCGTTTCCCGGATGGTTTGAGATGTGTGAGTGCTCTAAATTAGGCTCAGGCATGGTTCACTTGGCCGGCCTGGTCGGAAGAGGAGTGCCTGAGGCTTTGGCGCGGTACGCTTGTAGTGTAAGTGCAAAGCGCCTGACCCGAAACTGTAGACAAGATGTGACTTTTATGGGACTGTTTCATATGGATTTATTAATCATTCTTACAGTTTAATTAACCCAAACTGTCAAAGGTTATTAAAGACTTAAACCCCTCACTGCACGACAGCTGCACTTTCAGCAAACGATATAATTAAAGAAATCTCCGCTGTGTTGAGCGAGAGCGCCTACTGAAAGCGTGCTTTGGCCCGGTTCAAGGCAACTGTAGATAGTGTGAGGACGCCCTAAAACACTGCTGTCTGTTTCTGAGACACAACGAGTGAAGAGCTCAGTCAGCTTCTCAAGAGTGTTAAAGTTTGTCTGTAGTGACTGTAGTAAAAACTCACCCGCAGTCATGATCACTAAGATCAGAGGAAGAGATGCTCTGAAAGACCTCAACATAGTGACTTCTGCAATCCTACAAATGACAAATATGACAGTATGAGCATCATCCCTACACAACAGCTGCACACTGAACAACAATGACAAGTTGGCGCCACATAAGAAATGTTTGCCTGATGGTGACCAGGGTTTGTGTCTTCACTGAAACATTGAGTATAATTATTTATGACAATTAACACCACTTCAGTATTTTAGACAGGGCTGTCAACTCTCCTACATTCACTGTGAGATTTGCATTGGCTCAGTGGTTAGCACTGTTGCCTCACAGCAAGAAGGTCGCTGGTTTGAGTCCAGGCTGGGCATTTCTGTTTCAGTTGGCATTTCTGTGTGGAGTTTGCATGTTCTTAGCGTGTTGGCATAGGTTTCCTCCGGGTGCTTCGGTTTCCCCACAAGTTCAAAGACATGCACTATACACTGTAAAAAATGCAGTTTCACACAATTCAGTCATGTTGTCCCAACACAAATCGAGTAAGTTACACTTTTAACAAATTTGTGTGGATTGAACACAAAAATTAAGTTGTCTCAATGAAATCTCAAGAATTGTGTTTAGGAGTAGGATGAACAAGTTAAAAAAAAAAAATTTGAGTATAGGAGAATTGGGTAAACAAAATTGGCCGTAGTTTATGAATGTGTGTGTGTGTGTGTGTGTGTGTGTGTGTGTGTGTGTGTGTGTGTGTGTGTGTGTGTGTGTGTGAGTGTACAGGTGTTTCCCAGTACTGGGTTGTGGCTGGAAGGGCATCCGCTGCATAAAACATATGCTGTAATAGTTAGCGGCTAATTCTGCTGTGGAGACCCTAATAAATAAGGGACAAAGCTGAAGGAAAATGAATATATAAATAAATCTGTTTAGGGTGTCTTTTCCCCAAGATTTTTTAAGGTGAAATAAAAAACAAAGTATTACTTTTGTTATTTCACTCAGTATATAAAACTAAACACCACAGCTAACAGGTCAGTGACGACACGTCATCAGCAGAGTTTATCAACTGCTCCAGTTTTTAAGTCTTGACAAAATAAACATTCAACGGACTCTAAATCAGACACTAACATGGTGGATGCCGCGTCTCTACGTTTTCCAGCTGCAGAAATAACATCTGACTTTGGCCTCTGTCATATTTTATATTTGGATTCTGACTCAGCTTTAGTGATCAAGAGCGAGAGACACAGAATCAACATCCTGACCAAACCAAACACACACAATCACCACTAAACACCCTGTTTTCACAGCAGCACACAACTAAATAAACCCACACACACTAGTAAAGCAAACACATGAACATAAACCAGCATGAACAGAACTTTCTAATAATCTCTGGGAAAATAAAGTATTGTAAGTGTCCTTTGATTCTTTAGTTTGCCTCACGTCTCATTATTCTTCAGTCCTGCAGAGTTTTGATAAAGCTGGTCTTCCTGTAGTTTTGGAGAAACTCTTAAAGCTGGACTGGTTTGTTCAGATGTGTTTGATTGGGGTTTGAGAGAAACTCTGCAGGACTGAGACTCTTCAGGACCAAACTTGTCTCTCCTGTGCTGTACATGTCAGCTGAGCTTCACAACAGATCAGCATTTGCAGAAACTCTTGTTGTTTTGAGGAGGAACTACATCATCTAGAATCTCACCTGGAGCCTGAGCGGCCCTGACCACAACATCTGTATTTATAACAGTTATTGAGCTTCTGTAACTCCTCAAATCAACATTCAGCAGATGCCTTTGTAACCCAGCCGGTGCTATGCCACTCAACCCGCTCCGAGTTGGTATCGAAACAGCAACCTTACGCAGTTGCTCTAACAAGGAGGCTGAAGACCATGGCCTCTAGCGTCTGTTACTAGAGGTCAGATGAGTGAGGTTTACCTTCACAGCATTTCACTGGCTGGCCTTTGCTACACTCACCCCACTAAACCTCACTGCCATCCGGGTCACAGCACCAATGTAACCCCCCGGTCCAACACCACCCAACCCGCTCCGAGCTGGGATCGAACCGGCGACCTTCCGCATGGGAGTCGGTTGCTCTAACAAGGAAACTAAAGTCCATGGCATCTAGTGTCTGTCGCTAGAGCACCTTTAGAGGTCAGAGGAGTGAGGTTTACCTAAACAGCATTTACTAGCTGGCTTCCGTTACACCTTCACACAGATACCAGGCGCAGATCAATAGAATTATTTTAGTGTTGAAATGCTCTTACCGTGCTGCCGTGTCTTAGTGTCGACGCTCAAATGAGATCAGCAGTTCAAGCTATTACTATAAATGGACAGTTTTCACACTTTAAAAATACACTGATACAAATATTTGTCTTCCTCTTTCTGGGTCTGTATGAGATCATCTAAAAAACACCAGGACACCTCATGCAGTCGCTCTCGCCTACAGATGTCAGACAGCAGAATTCACTATTGTTCAGTGTTTGAGAGGGAAAACGTGAAAACACAATTAGTTTGGAGACAGAACTAAGAAAAACACTTTAAATGAGTGTCTGAGCATCACCTGATGAAGCTTTGCAGCTCTGTTTTGCTTCCTCTTTCTGCACGGACTCAGAAGTTCAGCTCAGAAGTGAACATGACAGATGACACACACATGAAATTCTCTGCTGACAGATTAATGACATTTAGAAAATGCTTCTTAAACACTAATTAATTACTAAAGGATGTAATCTCTGTTAAACTTTATTTAGGGTGGCTTGATGAAGCAACGTAGAGTTATACAACATCAACTTCTTCTTTTTCTTAGACTATTTTAAGAAAGCATCTCCTCCTAGACCGTTCAAAGTACAACAACCAAACTCACTCCAAACCTCCAAACTATACTGAATTAGGTTGCTCTGTCTTTTCCAACTGATCCGACTTATGGCCTTCTGAAAACTGACCCGGAAAATTCTGAAAAGTCCCATTGACTTAACATTGGACAAAACTTTGTGACCTCTCAACTTTGCATCAGACTGTCATGTAGACCTAACTTTGGACTCATTCAACTCAGAATACCAATCTGCCAATCAATGATGACCTTTCAACTTACTAGCCACACCCTAGCAACCACTTATGGCACCCTAGCAACTGTCCCATACTTTCATTGTAAAAAAGTGCCATTGACTTTACATTGGACATTCTAACAACATGCCAATTCATACTAGATACAAAATAACATACTAATCATAGGTGGCGAGTGCGTAGCACTGTTGCCTCACAGCAAGAAGGTTTTGGCTGTGTCAGTTGGCATGAAGAAATTAATTCACAACTTCAAATTCAATATTATAAAATTCTAAACAGGAAATTCAGATTGTGAAATTCAGATTCAGCAGAAAGTAGGTCAGGGGTGATCAACAGGAAATTAATTTCTTCATCTTGAAAATTTAAAACTACATTTTTACAAACTTAATACCTGCAGTCTATTAATTCAGAACACAAAAATCTGAAGTTTGTAAATGCGTCTATAAAAAAAAATTCAGCCTTGAATTTTCAATTTTTGAGTCTTAAATTTAAGATGTTCAATATTCAAGTTGTGAAATTAAAATTTAAATGAAGAAATTAAAAATATTTTAACGATATATAAAAATTCAGCTTTATTAAATTACAATTGTCAATAATTCAAATTAACACAATTCAAATTCAGATTGTTTCGGTATATTATTAGCTCCATACTCATCCCGCTTTGTTCTCTCCATTGCTCGTTTGTCTAGAACTTGTTTTGAAATTAAATCAAGTTTTCCGTTATGGTGGGCGGAGCTTCGAGTCACAGACTGTAATCTGATTGGTGCTTGTGTATCTGCAGTCTTTAAACACGTCTGCTTGTTTTTTAACCACATTTCACGAGAAATAATAATGAACTTAGATGTATTTATTTACTATTATTAATGTTAATGAGCTATTATAGTGATTTCAGTTTTTTCATTTGCCATTATTTTTCTCAAAGTAATTCACCACTTCTTATTTTTATAATTCTTATTAAGTGTTTTTATTTTCTTACACTTGTCTCTTTATTCCTGTTTATGTAAAGCGCTTTGAATTGCCATGGTGTATGAAATGTGCTTTATAAATAAACTTGCCTTGCCTAATTTTGGCCTTTAATCATATTTTTATTTTGATCATACTTTATAAAGACTGATTTAAGTCTTAAAGGTCAATCTGAAAACACACACAGTCATCATAATTATTAATAAATCAATGTTTATTTTGTGATATATGACACTACAACACATTAGTAGGTTACTCCAGCAAACACAGTTCAGTTAAATCCAGTCACTTTAATATAATTATTTACAGATTGATTTGAGTTTGAGATGAAAACACTGCTCATCTGTACAAATCATCAATTCAGTCTGTTCATCCTCCAGTGAAGAAGACACTAATTAACAATAATGAGAAAGAAATATGAAGGTTATATGAATATAATATATGAATGCATTTCTTTATATCTGAAATGATGATTTCCTCCTGAAATGCATTTCCAGAACAAACACACTCTGTACAATAAACACACACATCAGCAAATAAGCCTGAAATCAGATGTTGACGTCCTCTAATGATGAGCAAAATCTGTGAATCAGCAGAACTCAAGCAGTCTCTGATCATCATCAACAGCATCGAGCCAATGTTGTTTATTTGACTGAGCTGTAAATCACATCCTCACATCTGCAGACAAATGAGAAACTTTAAGCACTGAACATGTTTTATAAGGGTCTCAGTGTTTAATTGGGGTTGAGATGAATGTTTTGTCACCTGTTGGCATCAGACGGACGCTGCATCTCCATCTTCTGATGTTCTTCAGTCTTCGTGTCTTTGTTCTTGAAGTGATGAACACTGGCGTATTGAAGATCCTCCACATCTCCTGCTTCTGCTCTGCTGGAGCGTTTGGCTTTCACTGATGTAATGTTGGTATAAAGATCCTCGCTCTGATTGGCTGATACTAGTGAATACACTGCACTGTCATTGGCTGAAGCTGTTTCTGCTGATCTGCCAATGGGATTCTGCTGTGGTTTAATCAAACATCACAGAAATATAATCAGTCCTGCTTTTAATATCAACTTCAGGGCAGATACTTGTATTTTCAAATAAAATAATATTAATATCATGAGCAGTTTTCTGTAAATTCAGGGGCCTCATGTATCAACGCTGCATACACACAAAAACATTGCGTACGCAAGGTTTCACGCTCAGAATCGCTCACGTTTGGATTTACTAACAATGAACTGAACGTGGGAATGTGCGCAGCTTCACGGCAGCTTTATGGCAGGCGTACGCATATTTTTTGTGCGTGTCTGTTTTATTTCCATTGGCGACTCCTAGAGGCAGTTGTGTTAAATTCCTCTCTACAAAATGTCTGAGCCTTGCAATGGCAGCTGTATGAGACGGGTTCATCTAGTAGGTATGTAAGATTTCCATACCATACAGTTGACCAGCTAAACATTAAAGCACAATTTGCAGCAGTCGCCTGTTTTCCCAATGTAATCTGAGCTATCTACCGCACGCACATTGCTATAAAGACACTATCTGAAGATGAATTTGCAAGCGTGAATCAGAAACATTTCCATTCAATAAAAGTGCAAATAAAATATGATGCACAAACTTATTAATGATTCCTACTTGTCTTTCTCGTGATAAATAGTAGGCAAAATATGATATGTAGCGGGGGGGAAAAAAGAAGATAGAGTTCATCAGACGCTGGATTCGAGCCGAGTTCATGCTCGAACGTGTCAAAACATGATCACATGCGTCTTACGAGCGCGCCATTGAGACATTTCAGAGTACTGCAACAGTTTACAGATATAAACCAGACTATTTTTTTTTAAATGCACTCAGTGCGATGTTCAGACCCAACTGTGTCAACCGCATCAGCTAAACTCTCCCACTCTATTTTTTTTTTCTTTTGTTGTTAATTCCGAAAAACAAACTTGCAAATAACACCGCTTTTCTCCGATCTACCTCCGAAAGCAGCACCTCCATTTCACATTCTGTTCAAAGTTTCTCTTTTTGCTTGCTTTTGCCATTGCTTTTTTGTTGGGTTTTGCCATTAGCATAGTCATTAGCATATTCATACGGGGGAGGAGGCAGGGAGGGGTTTTGTGCTCGTGCATGTTGCGCTCAGTTTCACGTTCATTCGGATGTACAAAAGAATATGCGTGAGATTCGGCGTACGCAGTGTTTCATACATCTGAATTTTTTTCTGCGTACGCATATTTACAGCTTTGTGCGTACGCAATGTTTTAGTAAGATTTCCACGCAAGTCTTCGTACATGAGGCCCCAGGTCTGTACTATCTAACTCGCCTGATTTTGTCTGGTATCTTCAGCTCCACCGTCTCTCTTCTTCTTCTTCCTGAAGAAAAATATTTCAAAGTATTAAAAAGTAATATATTAACATATATTTTCATTAATGCCTCGGGTTCAGTAAGTTCTATATTCATTTTAATTTTTGAAACAGCCTTTTAATTCGAGATCAGCTCAGCATTCACTCACCATATGAACACAATAATGAAGATGATGATGAAGATCAATCCTCCACATCCCGCCACAACCCCAGTAAGTGTGAGCAGAGCAGATCTCTGAACCCCTGAAACAAGACGCTGATGAAGATCATTTGACAGCAGAGACAGAAGAAACTGAAAGAGTGTCTGTTTCTAGAAAATACCTTCAGTGACTGAAACAGACTCTGATCTCTGAGAGCCATATTTATTCTCAGCCTCACAGTAGTATCGACCACTATCTAGTGCACTAAAACTCTGTCCAGATCCAACAGCTGAGCTTTGATTCTCCTTAAACCAGGTAAAGTTCACAGCAGGAGGGTTTGAGTCGCTGCTGCAGCTCAGAGTCACTGAATCTCCAGACACTATTACAGCAGATCCATTTATAAATACTGAGACATTCCTGGGAGGATCTGAAACAAATAATAATTTGTTTACAAAAACAATTAAATATCTGTATAATTACTAATAAAACAATATGACCAGAACAAGGATCAGCCTGTTGTGTTATAATACTCTCACACATGACATTCAGCATCACAGGATCAGAGTTTTTCTCTCCATGTTTATTTCTGGCTCTACACTTGTATTCTCCGCTGTGATCAGAGCTGATGTTTGAGATGCTGAAGATTCTTCCAGATCCTACAGATGATTCTCCTTTTAACCAGCTGAAGTTCAGTGCAGGAGGGTTTGAGTCGCTGCTGCAGTTCAGAGTCACTGAATCTCCAGACACTATTACAGCAGATCCACTGACGGACACTGAGACGCTCTTTGGAGGATCTGAAAAATAATAACCATGTATTGACAATAAAAATGTAATGCAAGTAAAAGTCAATTAATAAAAACAGAGAATATATAATATAAAAACTATCTATACTGGACATTTGATACTACATAAATTCAAGAAATTAAATAAAAGATGAAAATCTAAACCAGTGAACAGTAAATAAACCAGCATCACCGCAACAAGGGTGTCAAAGCACAAAGTTATTTAATATATAATCATAATTATGCTTATGTGATACATTTCTACTATTAATCAGTCGATTTATACTCACATTCAACACTGAGATAAACAGATGGAGAGTTCAGACGTTCTCCTGCTTTTCCTCTTGCAGCACATCTATATTCTCCAGCATCAGAGCGACTGACTGACTGCAGGTGAAGCTGATTATTCAGTGTTTCTCCAGTTAATCTCTCTGTGTTTCTGTACCAGATGAATGTAGTTTCTTCAGGCAGAGAGCAGCTGCTTTTACAGCTCAGAGTGACTGAATCTCCCTCTTTTACACATTGTTTTGTCTCCACCTGCAGGCCTGACAGAGAAAATAAAACTTGTAAATGTAAACAGTAAATGTTCATGCAAATAGTATTTTTCTAAATTGAACATCAAATTGAAGTAGATCAGATAGCATGTAATGCCATAAACACATGATGTTGCTGTTGTTCAGACGGCTGATACACTCCTGTAACATAAAGAGCTGCTGTGTTCATGGAGACCTGAATAAAGTCCTGATCTCAGTTTATTTACCTGTGACATCAAGATGAGCTCCAGGAATCCCAGTCCATCTAAACCGTGTATCTGTGATTCTGCAGTAGTAGATGTGTTTATCAGCTTCTGTTACTGCAGTCAAAGTGATGCTGAAAGTGTCTTTATCTTCTCTGACACACTGAATTCCTCCTCTTTTGTCTGGATCTGTACACAGGTCTGGAGGTTCTTCACCAGTTACAGCAGGTTTGGTTGAGACAGATTGTATGAGCTGATAACCATAAACAGAATATGTTGAAGTACAGGATATTTTCACTGTTGATCCTTTTAATGCACAAACAGATGAAGGGCTGTATTTCACTCGCCAATCCAGCAGACCATCAACCCCTGAAACACAGACATGAGGAAAAACTGATCAGGCTATCAGCAAAAACAAAATCACAGAAATCTTTTGTTTTGCTCAAATATTTAAAACACACAAAAGATATCAGTTTGAGGAAAGCTTTACATGTTCACTCAAATGCAATTTAAGAAACTCCACATGTGAGATATTTCACTCATCTTCTTGTTTATACTCACATTGTACTTTGACATAAACAGCAGGAGAGATCAGATGTTCATTTCCTCCTACAGCACACTGATAATCTCCAGCATCATAATAGCTGACTGACCACAGATGAAGCTGATTCTTTGTTCTGATTCCTTTATTTATTGTCTTTGTGTTTCTGTACCAGATGAATGTAGTTTCTTCAGGCAGAGAGCAGCTGCTTTTACAGCTCAGAGTCACTGAATCTCCCTCTACAACAGTCTGCTGTGTCTCCACCTGCAGGTCTGACAGAGAAATGACAGCAGTTCATTGGTTTATCATTCTGTTTATGTTCTGAACCTTCTTTCTTCTCCACAATACTTTTCATTTATGAACATTTCTTGTTTTGTGGAGAGCTGTCATAATATAATATCATAAAAATAAATATATATAAACAAACATAAAAGCAATCATATATTTAACAAGGTTTAGTGAAATAGAGAGTATAGTTTTTTATTAGGTACAAATGTAAATAAATTCATAGAAGCTTAGTAACATAAAATCCAACTGTTGGTGGCTTTGACTTTGCTTCATTTTACGCTGTCAAAATAAGAGTTCCACATACAGTACATAGTAAGTTTAATATAAACTTTGATGAACTAAAAAAACAAGGGAGGGAAATACACTCATGGAATTTACATGACAGCTAGAACACATTGGAGTTTGAGGCTCACAGTATGGTCATTTCCATGTACTGAACTCTTATTATTTGACTATACCTAGGTATTTCCAGATTTTCTTTAAAGGGCACCTTTAAATCAGCTTTGCTTTTGTTCTTATGTTTATATGAGTGAATCTGAATCTGAACAGCAGCCTGAGAACAATCAAGAATGTTCATTTTTAATTCATATTTCACATTTCCTGACTGGTTTTTGGCTTTTCTAAATGATGCACTTGTATTTTTTATGATCATAAACAAACCCTCCTGAACACTTGGCATATTTCATTAACATTCATCATTTTTAGTCTCTTTTGCAATGTTTTATAAAGCAAAGTTCACTATTCTTCTGGACTGGATCTGGACTCTGAATCTGGAATCTGGACTTAATTTATTCAGGTTTTTGTTAAGAAACATGAAGATCCACAGCAAATACAGAAAGATTATAAAGTGTTGGCTGTGTGTGTTTCTGATAGTTCTGCTTCTACCTGTGACGTCCAGCTGAACTCCAGGAATCCCCGTCCATTTTCCACCCTCAGCATCAGTAGTGAATCTGCAGTAGTAGATGTGTTTATCAGCTTCTGTTACTGCAGTCAAAGTGATGCTGGAAGTGTCTTTATCTGCTCTGACACACTGAACTCTTCCTGTTTTATCAGGGTCTGAACACAGGTCTGGTGTTTCTCCATCAGTTACAGCATGTTTGGTCCAGTAGACTGATCTGAGCTGATGATCATGAGGATATTTTACAGTACAGGATATTTTCACTGTTGATCCCTTTAATGCACAAACAGATGAAGAGCTGTAATTCACTCCCCAATCCTGCTGACCATCAGACCCTGAAACACAGACATGCACAAAACAAACATTTATAAACTAGTTTAAAAGTAGATTAAAGGCTTCTCTTTTAGTAAAACATATACACAATCCATCCCATAAGTTTATGTCCAGTGAAATGCATCTCATCAAATGCATCATTTCATATTCACATTAATATCTCATTTAAAATATTAACAGCAGCTACACCAATTCTCTTTTTCAACCCAGACTCATCATGGATACGTACCACGGTATGCATTTCTGTAGATTGCAAAGTACGTCCATAGGAGGACTTTTTTTTGCAGTTTTTGTTTTTGCAAATCCGCCAGAGGCCGTATGTGTGTGCTTTTTCAGATCTCAAGTTTCTCTTACAAATGCCAATAATAATACATTAAGATGTAAAATATAAATAAACCGCATATACGTCACCTCTTTGAAAAGTACAGATTATTGTATAACTGCAGGTTGACTATCTATATACTGTCCACCCTATACACAGCACACTAACTCTTGCTGATTTTGATTGTGCAGTAATAGTGTGCACGTTTGTGAAGCTGCTTTAGAATGATCATTATTGTGAAAAGCGTTAAACAAACAAACTTTTACAATTGATTTGAAAATAGTTTTTAAATTGTTTTAAAATTTAATCACTTTTGACTTTTTTTATTGTCTCTGTCAGTAAAACACTGCTGTGGGTTTCTGAGACACAAAGTGTGAAGAGCTCAGTCAGCTTCTCAAGAGTGTTAAAGTTTGTCTATAGTGACTGTAGTGAAAACTCACCCGCAGTCATGATCACTAAGATCAGAGGAAGAGATGCTCTGAAAGACCTCAACATAGTGACTTCTGCAATCCTACAAATGACAAATATGACAGTATGAGCATCATCTCTACACAACAGCACAAACTCTATTGAGTGAACAGTCTGTAGATGGAGAACAGGATCAACTCTGACATGATCTGACTGTACTAAACACACTAGTAAAGCAAACACATGATCATAAACCAGCATGAACAGAACTTTCTAATAATCTGAGGGGAAATAAAGTATTGTAAGTGTCCTTTGATTCTTGATTCATCATCTAGAATCTCTCCTGGAGCCTGAGCGGCCCTGACCACAACATCTGTATTTATAACAGTTATTGAGCTTCTGTAACTCCTCAAATCAACATTCAGCAGATGCTTTCATACAGATATCAGCCGTGGATGAACAGAATTATTTTAATGTTGAAATGCTCTTACCGTGCTGCAGTGTCTCAGTGTCGACGCTCAAATGAGATCCTCAGCAGCTCAAGCGGTCAAGCAGTTTTCACACTTTAAAAATAGGCTGTTAAATATTTGTCTTCCTCTTCCTGGGTCTGTATAAGATCATCTTAAAAACACCAGAACATCTCCTGCAGTCACTCTCATCTACAGATGTCAAACAGCAGAATTCACTATTGTTCAGTATTTGAGAGGGAAAATGTGAAAACACAATTAGTTTGGAGACAGAACTGAGTAAAACACTTTAAATGAGTGTCTGAGCATCACCTGATGAAGCTTTGCAGCTCTTAGTGTCACTTCCTCTTGTTTGCACAAACTCTGTTTTCACTCATGAAGTGTTAACATGACATACGACACACTTAAACCACATTCATATCCATCAGTGGACATTAAAGTGGGCGTTTATGTGGATCAGAGGCCGTTTCTGACAGACAACACAAGTGCTCCAGACCCATAACAGATAAAACATTTTCTTATATACTAATAACTTTGGTCGGTATTTCAAGTGCTGACTGGGCCAGGAGGAGTTTGCATGTTCTCCCGTGCTGTCATGCTGTCATGAGTATTAGCTGAGAGATGACTATTTCACCTGACTCACTAGAGGGCACTCCAGTTATATGTACAATCCACCAATCACTCAAACTACACATCCCATCATGCATTGTGCCAATCAACCATCTACAGCTGTTATAAATCTGGACACTGATTACACAGCTGTAGGACATACACACTCTATTTAAGCACCACACTTACACACCTTCATTGTTAGCTCAGGGCAAAATGTGGAGGAGCTGAACACTCATCGCCAGCTTTGCTCTGAGAACTGAAGCTCTGAGGTGGATGGGTCACTTCCCGAGTCCCCAATAATAAATAGACATACAGATCCATCACCCAAGTGCACGAGAAGTACAGTAGGTGGCGGTAATACTCCCAAGGAGTGAACGGCCAATAAACGAAAAAGAAAACCTTCATTGTTGGAGATTAGTGATGGTGAAATGAAGCTTTCTGAACCAGTGAAGCGCTCGACTCAACTGTATTGGAAAAAGGTTCGTTACTCGAAGCTTTCTAAATCAGAGCTCGATGAGGACCTCTGCTGGTTAAAGTGTGGGAAAGCACTGTGTTGCATTACAGTAATGTTAAATGTTCACAGCTGACCAACTCAATCATGTAGTAATACAACAACAGTAATATAAACAAATTACTCAATTACTGTAGTTTTTACACATAAGATATATGACATTACACCACCGATGACTGTAGTAAAATCCAAGATACTCAAAATATTTTACATTTATCATATTCCAACTTGTCCAGTTACAAGCGGGGATCAAACCGGCGATTCCTTCATGGGAGGCGAATGCTCTAAGGAGGAAGCGATGAGAGTTCAGGCTCCTCTCACCAGCTGGTTTCTAGAGCTGTGAACCTACACTAGTCTCACGGTTCGGTTCGGTTACGATTATCATGCCATCAATTCGGTTCAATTCGATATTTCGGTGCATCACGGTGCATTGACAGTGCTTTCCATACACAGTTTTATATTTTCTTCACAGCAGCATTTCTTGTATTAAAATGTATGAATATATTTATATACTATTTGTAATACAATTTTGTCATTTAATACAAACAGTCAGAGATATAAACTGTACCTTTAAACAAAACAAGCATTTAGCAAATAATATAAACAAATATAAATATCCAGCTCACTTTCTGATCCTTGTCTAGTTCTCTTACACCTCTTTGATTGGTCACACCCTCAAAAAAAAAAACGGTTGCTATTGGCTCTTGCGCGCTGCGTTCTTCACAGATGAGTGATACTGATAAGCGGCAGCGGCGATCTCACAGCTGATGTATGATAGACATGGTGGAGAAAACTCTGCAGACACGCGCTCGTTTCTGGATGCAAAAGTAACGCTGTAAAACAGTCGAGAAGAAAAGCCACGCTAGCAGGTCAAATGGGCCACTGTGTGTGTGTGAGAAAGAGAGAGAGAGCGAGAGAGAAATGGAGTAGGCTACTTTCATTCTCTCGATCTCAGTGAAATAGGGGCTTTTGTTGTATATATCAGTGAAAGACTGATCCAGCAAACACACACAGTGAAATTGTGCACAGTTTATGAATGTTAAGAAGTTAAAGCGCTGTAAATACTCACGATCGCCTCCCTTGTGACAGAGCGCATATGAGGTAAATGACAACAGTAATAACCGGTTATGATTATTACTGAACCGATACCGAATTGTCCGCGTCTGCATCGCAGTGCACCGAAGAAACGATTAATTTTGACACCCCTACTGGTCTCCGTTAAACACTATACTATGATATGAAGTGGTTTTCTTTAAAGATAGTTGTAAAAAATATGCTAATAAACGTTAGGATGGTTCAAAACCTTTTTACTATAAACTACTATTGTATTTTAGTTTAATTACTGGTGTGTGGGACCGGTGCAGTGCTTTGAAACAGTAGAAATGGATGTAATCGATGCCTAATCTCTCGCTATACACTTTACTAACCCATGAGAGTGTTTAAACTTTTAAATCAATATTTGATGAAGTCACGTGGGTATAGGTGAAGATAAAGCTTCAGACGTGACTGATCACGTGAAGATGGCAAAACGAATCAAGCTCCGGTACACTGCTTCACTGCGAGATTTATCTTTTTTTGATATATGCTTCGAAGCCTCAACGCACAACGTCACAACACTATTGGAGATTGTAATGTGTTTTTTGTCATAGACAGGGCTGCTTAACCCTGTTCCTGAAGTTCAACCTTCCTGCAGATTTCAGTTGCAACCCCTATCAAACACACCTGCCTGTAATAATCAAGTGCTGTTTCGGTCATAATTAATTGGTTCAGGTGTGTTTGATCAGGGTTGGAGATTAACTCTGTTGGAAGGCAGATCTACAGGAACAGGGTTGAACAATCTTTCTAATGCCGAGTTCAGACTGCATGATTTTCAAAGTAGTCGTGTCACAGATGTTTTCACACTGCATGACTATCTGGGCTTGCGTTTCGTCGCTGCTTTGTTTACACTGCAAGATGGATCGGCGACAGGGACATTCACATTGCATGACTTTACTATAGGAAGAATCGCCGACAACTTCGTCCAAACTATGTCACACAACTAAAAACACGTCGTATATCTTTTGTTATGTTGGACTATTTCTCACTTGCCTTAGTCCACCCCAATTCAATAATCGGTCAGGAGTCAATTAATCAAAATCAATGAATTTATTTATCGAGCATAAGTGAATAAAGCAAAGATCAGGATCCTGGGCTTTTGAAGAACCGTCAGCCAAGCAGTCTGGATTTCCAAAAGCTCTCGAACTCTTTCGACTCCCTCCTTTTATCCATCAGCAGCGTTCAATCTTTTTGGCCACTCCTCTGATCAGTTACCCCCAATCTCTATTGTTGCCATCAGCTGTTTTCAGGCAGAATCATCTCTCAAAAGTCTGTGGTCTGCACACAGAGATACCTCTGCACACAGAAACAAAAGGGCAAGTGAAAGTATCACTCCTCCTTGACATACTTGACACTACTGACATCTGGGGTGCAGCAAGCAACTGTAGCAAAAAATCATCAAAGCACAGCTGAGCATCATAACTTCCTTATAGAGATATCAGGATAATATTAATTTTATTAAAGCATCATACATCACGCATACACAGAGAGCAGTATAAAAATGCTGCATCTACCACATCTGCTTTTCCTCCTAGTCCTGTCTATGAACTCTTGACCTGTGTATGCACCCATCTAGGGGAAGCCCTTTTGCAGATCTGTCTCCAGCCAGCACCCACACACAGCTCTTGTGGTTTTAGCAGTTAGTTAGAAACGCATTATAACAGGGGTTAAGTAGAAGTGCGCTATATCAGGAGACATCGTCATATCTGACAAAAACACATATTGTAAATAATGAATAGTGAGGCAAATGGGAGTATATTCCTCCAATAGCGAAAATATATCAAAAGAAAAGAGTGATTAGTAAGACAATAAAGCAATATTTTCCTCATCTGCTCCAGTTCTCTTTTCTATGTAGAATAGTCACACATCACAGCTGCAACCCAGACAGGGACTTTCTGCAAGACTTGTCTGTTACAGATTTAGTTATTTGACATTATAGGGGTGGAAAGTTCCTGTCTCATTCTAAGGTCAAACAGAATGTCTCATCATATCACTGCGTGGACTCATTAGATTATCATGGTTCAAGCAAACACATATACATATGCAAAATAAGCATGAGCACATGTATATAATTCAAAAGAAGCATTAGACTGTAATTTTATTCCTTCAGTTATTAACTACATAATGAGAAAGAACCCTTTAATGGGGTAGAACATGTACCTGTTTGCTCACCTGGGTTTAAAGGGAATTAGCCATTTCTCCTCAACGTTGATAATAAACTCATTTCTTTCTGTATGAAACGTCAAACAGACACGGTTGCTCCTGAGTCCTGTCAAACCTCCACTAGTTTTTCCTCCATTTCGTGGGTCCAAATAAACCGAAAAAGAGCGCTTTTAACTTCTCCTCCAGCCTCCCGCTGGCCTGCAGCAGGTACACACACACGCACACACAAGTGAAAGCTGCTCTCTCATTGGCTGTAGACGATCGCTGATGTTATTTTCAGTCAAAACTCAATTCACACGGCATGATTTGAATCGCCGACAGCTCCAGATATTCAGCATGCCAAATATCTCACAGGCATCGGCGACTCATCGGCGATTCTCTCAGATCGCGTCTTTGAAAGTTCATACTGTGTGATTGTCACTCACGTGCACGAGCAGCGATTTGCCTGTGATTTCAGGCATTTGTCTGCGATTTCTCAAAACCTGTTGGCGAGCCAAAATCGGGGCTAAAATCACGCAGTCTGAACTAGGCATTAGGTGCTTCTCAATACCTATTTGTGCATCCTTGTTTCCTCTCCTTGCTTCCTTTCCTCCCATCTTAGCTCCACTCCTTCAGGATTTGAGGGAAAGATGCAAGATGTGAGGACAGAAGTTGAATGAAGTGACATGATATCTTCACTTCCTTCAGTGTCACTTCAACATGTTGTCATTTAATGAACACTTAACATCACTTATTTAGCTTGAACATCAAGATTCTTTAATATTACAGATATTTATTTGCACTGTAATAGTTTTAACCTCCACAAACCATACCATTTGTCTGTAATTTTATTTTACTTATAATTATGAATTATTCCCTGTTATTAACTGCGAAAAGTACATTACATCAAAATTAAAGGAACTGTGCAGAACTTTCTGCTCTCTCTATTCTCGCCTGCTTGTTGTGCAATTAGTGGATTGAGATGTCCCACAAGTTGACTGAGCTCCATCAGTTTCCAGGTCATAGGATGGAGGAGTGAGGAAACGAGGAAAGGTATTGAGAAGGACTCCTAGTGTTTTATGTGTCCCTTTAATTTTGCCTGGCCTGGGTTTAGTACTCTGGACTGACTGTAGGATTGATGATGTTTTCCTGACTTGATTCTTGTCTGTTCTCTTGGATCGTGTTTTTGGTTTTACTCTTTACATTATTGTTTGCTCCTGTGTTGAACTCTGCCTGCTTTGACGACTCTTAAATAAAAAAATCTGCATTTAGAGCAATGGAGGTTCAGAAGTTAGCTTACTCTCAGTGCTAGGAGGGCATCCGCCAATTGAAACATGTATCAGAGTAATTGTCAGTTCATTCTGCTGTGGCAACCTCTGATAAATCTAGGATTAAGCTGAAAGAGAGTATTATTTTTACCCTAAATTTTAGTTCACTTCATTGCCATCATGTGGTTAAAGAGATGAAGTGCACTTTACTGCCCAATATGAAGTGCTAATCACAGCAGCTGAAGACTAAAGGTCAATCTGAAAACACACACAGTCATCATAATTATTAATAAATCAATGTTTATTGTGTGATATATGACACTACAACACAACAGACATTAGTAGGTTACTCCAGCAAACACAGTTCAGTCAAATCCAGTCACTTTAATAGAATTATTTACAGATTGATTTGAGTTTGAGATAAAAACACTGCTCATCTGTACAAATCATCAGTTCAATCTGTTCATCCTCCAGTGAAGACACTAATTAACAATAATGAGGGAGAATTATGAAGGTTATATGAATATAATATATGAATGCATTTCTTTATGATGATTTCCTCCTGAAATGCATTTCCAGAACAAACACACTCTGTACAATAAACACACACATCAGCAAATAAGCCTGAAATCAGATGTTGACGTCCTCTAATGATGAGCAAAATCTGTGAATCAGCAGAACTCAAGCAGTCTCTGATCATCATCAACAGCATCAAGCCAATGTTGTTTATTTGACTGAGCTGTAAATCACATCCTCACATCTGCAGACAAATGAGAAACTTTAAGCACTGAACATGTTTTATAAGGGTCTCAGTGTTTAATTGGGGTTGAGATGAATGTTTTGTCACCTGTTGGCATCAGACGGACGCTGCATCTCCATCTTCTGATGTTCTTCAGTCTTCATGTCTTTGTTCTTGAAGTGATGAACACTGGCGTATTGAAGATCCTCCACATCTCCTGCTTCTGCTCTGCTGGAGCGTTTGGGTTTCACTGATGTAATGTTGGTATAAAGATCCTCGCTCTGATTGGCTGATACTAGTGAATACACTGCACTGTCATTGGCTGAAGCTGTTTCTGCTGATCTGCCAATGGGATTCTGCTGTGGTTTAATCAAATATCACAGAAATATAATCAGTCCTGCTTTTATTATCGTCTTCAGGGCAGATACTTGTCAAGCAGCAGTGCAGGATTTAATAACTCTTGTATTTTCAAATAAAATAATATTAATATCATGAGCAGTTTTCTGTAAATTCAGGTCTGTACTATCAAACTCGCCTGATTTTGTCTGGTATCTTCAGCTCCACCATCTCTCTTCTTCTTCTTCCTGAAGAAAAATATTTCAAAGTATTAAAAAGTAATGTATTAACATTTCATTTTTATTAATGCCTCGGGTTCAGTAAGTTCTATATTGATTTTAATTTTTGAAACAGCCTTTTAATTCAAGATCAGCTCAGCATTCACTCACCATATAAACACAATAATGATGATGATGATGAAGATCAATCCTCCACATCCCGCCACAACCCCAGTAAGTGTGAGCAGAGCAGATCTCTGAACCGCTGAAACAAGACGCTGATGAAGATCATTTGACAGCAGAGACAGAAGAAACTGAAAGAGTGTCTGTTTCTAGAAAATACCTTCAGTGACTGAAACAGACTCTGATCTCTGAGAGCCATATTTATTCTCAGCCTCACAGTAGTATCGGCCACTATCTAGTGCACTAAAACTCTGTCCAGATCCAACAGCTGAGCTTTGATTCTCCTTAAACCAGGTGAAGTTCACAGCAGGAGGGTTTGAGTCGCTGCTGCAGCTCAGAGTCACTGAATCTCCAGACACTATTACAGCAGATCCATTTATAAATACTGAGACATTCCTGGGAGGATCTGAAAAAATAATAATTTGTTTACAAAAACAATTAAATATCTGTATAATTACTAATAAAACAATATGACCAGAACAAGGATCAGCCTGTTGTGTTATAATACACTCACACATGACATTCAGCATCACAGGATCAGAGTATTTCTCTCCATGTTTATTTCTGGCTCTACACTTGTATTCTCCGCTGTGATCAGAGCTGATGTTTGAGATGCTGAAGATTCTTCCAGATCCTACAGATGATTCTCCTTTTACCCAGCTGAAGTTCAGTGCAGGAGGGTTTGAGTCGTTGCTGCAGTTCAGAGTCACTGAATCTCCAGACACTATTACAGCAGATCCACTGACGGACACTGAGACGCTCTTTGGAGGATCTGAAAAATAATAACCATGTATTGACAATAAAAATGTAATGCAAGTAAAAGTCAATTAATAAAAACAGAGAATAAATAATATAAAAACTATCTATACTGGACATTTGATACTACATAAATGTAAGAAATTAAATAAAAGATGAAAATCTAAACCAGTGAACAGTAAATAAACCAGCATCACTGCAACAAGGGTGTCAAAGCACAAATACAATGAATGATGATAAAACTGACTTAATATTGGATTATCTTGAATAAATCAAGTCTCTAATAATAACAAACAAATGTCATGCGGTCTGTATAACAAATCAAAGAGGTATTTAATATATAATCATAATTATGCTTATGTGATACATTTCTACTATTAATCAGTCGATTTATACTCACATTCAACACTGAGATAAACAGGTGGAGAGTTCAGACGTTCTCCTGCTTTTCCTCTTGCAGCACATCTATATTCTCCAGCATCAGAGCGACTGACTGACTGCAGCTGAAGCTGATTATTCAGTGTTTCTCCAGTTAATCTCTCTGTGTTTCTGTACCAGATGAATGTAGTTTCTTCAGGCAGAGAGCAGCTGCTTTTACAGCTCAGAGTCACTGAATCTCCCTCTTTTACACATTGTTTTGTCTCCACCTGCAGGTCTGACAGAGAAATTACAAGATGTGTTACTCAGTAAATATTATTTGTATTATTATGTAAATTAAACATCAAACTGAAGCAGTTCAGAGAGCAGTTATATCATAAACACATGATGTTGCTGTTGTTCAGACGGCTGATACACTCCTGTAACATAAAGAGCTGCTGTGTTCATGGAGACCTGAATAAAGTCCTGATCTCAGTTTATTTACCTGTGACATCAAGACGAGCTCCAGGAATCACAGTCCATCTTTTATACTGTACATCTCTGAATCTGCAGTAGTAGATGTGTTTATCAGCTTCTGTTACTGCAGTCAAAGTGATGCTGAAAGTGTCTCTATATTCTCTGTCTTTATATTCACTGACACACTGAATTCTTCCTCTTTTGTCTGGATCTGTACACAGGTCTGGAGGATCTTCACCAGTTACAGCAGGTTTGGTTGAGACAGATTGTATGAGCTCATAATCATGTGTTAAAGTACAGGATATTTTCACTGTTGATCCCTTTAATGCACAAACATATGAAGGGCTGTATTTCACTCCAGATTCCCACAGACCATAAACCCCTGAAACACAGACATGAGGAAAACTGATCAGACTATCAGCAAAAACAAAATCACAGAAATCTTTTGTTTTGCTCTCAAATATTTAAAACACACAAAAGATATCAGTTTGAGGAAAGCTTTACATGTTCACTCAAACATAATTTAAGAAACTCCACATGTGAGATATTTCACTCATCTTCTTGTTTATACTCACATCCTACTTTGACATAAACAGCAGGAGATTTCAGATGTTCATTTCCTCCTACAGCACACTGATAATCTCCACCATCATCATATGTGACTGACCACAGATGAAGCTGATTCTTTGTTCTGATTCCTTTATTTATTGTTTTTGTGTTTCTGTACCAGATGAATGTAGTTTCTTCAGGCAGAGAGCAGCTGCTTTTACAGCTCAGAGTCACTGAATCTCCCTCTACAACAGACTGCTGTGTCTCCACCTGCAGGTCTGACAGAGAAATGACAGCAGTTCATTGGTTTATCATTCTGTTTATGTTCTGAACCTTCTTTCTTCTCCAGAATACTTTTCATTTATGAACATTTCTTGTTTTGTAGAGATCTGTCATAATATACTGTCATAAAAATGAATATATATACAAACATAAAAGCAATCATATATTTAACAAGGTTTAGTGAAATAGAGAGTATAGTTTTTTATTAGGTACAAATGCAAAAAAATTCATAGAAGCTTAATAACATAAAATCCAACTGGTGGTGGCTTTGACTTTGCTTCATTTTACGCTGTCAAAATAAGAGTTCCACATACAGTACATAGTAAGTTTAATATAAACTTTGATGAACATAAAAACTAGAGAGGGAAATACACTCATGGAATTTACATGACTGCTAGAACACATTGGAGTTTGAGGCTCACAGTATGGTCATTTCCATGTACTGAACTCTTATTATTTGACTAGGTATTTCCAGATTTTCTTTAAAGGGCACCTTTAAATCAGCTTTGCTTTTGTTCTTATGTTTATATGAGTGAATCTGAATCTGAACAGCAGCCTGAGAACAATCAAGAATGTTCATTTTTAATTCATATTTCACATTTCCTGACTGGTTTTTGGCTTTTCTAAATGGTGCACTTGTATTTTTTATGATCATAAACAAACCCTCCTGAACACTTGGCATATTTCATTAAAATTCATAATTTTTAGTCTCTTTTGCAATGTTTTATAAAGCAAAGTTCACTATTCTTCTGGACTGGATCTGGACTCTGAATCTGGACTTAATTTATTCATGTTTTTGTTAAGAAACATGAAGATCCACAGCAAATACAGGAAGATTATAAAGTGTTGGCTGTGTGTGTTTCTGATAGTTCTGCTTCTACCTGTGACGTCCAGCTGAACTCCAGAAATCCCTGTCCATTTTCCACCCTCAACATCAGTAGTGAATCTGCAGTAGTAGATGTGTTTATCAGCTTCTGTTACTGCAGTCAAAGTGATGCTGGAAGTGTCTTTATCTTCTCTGACACACTGAACTCTTCCTGTTTTATCAGGGTCTGAACACAGGTCTGGTGCTTCTCCATCAGTTACAGCATGTTTGGTCCAGTAGACTGATCTGAGCTGATGATCATGAGGATATTTTACAGTACAGGATATTTTCACTGTTGATCCCTTTAATGCACAAACAGATGAAGAGCTGTAATTCACTCCCCAATCCTGCTGACCATCACACCCTGAAACACAGACATGCACAAAACAAACATTTATAAACTAGTTTAAAAGTAGATTACAGGCTTCTCTTTGAGTAAAGCATATACACAATCCATCCCATACGTTTATGTCCAGTGAAATGCATCTCATCAAATGCATCCTTTCATATTCACATTTATATCTCACTTAAAATATTAACAGCAGCTACACCAAATCTCTTTTTCAACCCAGACTCATCATGGATACGTACCACAGTATGCATTTCTGTAGAGAGCAAAATACGTCCCAGGAAGTACGTTTTTTTTTTTTTTTTTTTGTGCATTTTTTTATATTTGCAAATCCGCCAGAGGCCGTATGTGTGCACTTTTTCAGATCTCAAATTTCTCTTACAAATGCCAATAATAATACATAAAGATGTATAATATAAATAAACCGCATATACGTCACCTCTTTGAAAAGTACACATTATTGTATAACTGCAGGTTGACTCTATATACTGTCCACCCTATACACAGCACACTAACTCTTGCTGATTTTGGTTGTGCAGTAATAGTGTGCACGTTTGTGAAGCAGCTTTAGAATGATCATTATTGTGAAAAGCATTAAACAAACAAACTTTTACAATTTATTTGAATTTTTTTTCCAGTTTTTAAATTGTTTTAAAATTTAATCACTTTTGACCTTTTTTATTGTCTCTGTCAGTAAAACACTGCTGTCAGTTTCTGAGACACAAAGTGTGAGGAGCTCAGTCAGCTTCTCAAGAGTGTTAAAGTTTGTCTATAGTGACTGTAGTGAAAACTCACCCGCAGTCATGATCACTAAGATCAGAGGAAGAGATGCTCTGAAAGACCTCAACATAGTGACTTCTGCAATCCTACAAATGACAAATATGACAGTATGAGCATCATCTCTACACAACAGCACAAACTCTATTGTGTGAACAGACTGTAGATGGAGAACAGGATCATTTCTGACATGATCTGACTTTGCTCTTTGTTTTTGATTTTATATTTGGATTCTGACTCAGCTTTAGTGATCAAGAGCGAGAGACACAGAATCAACATCCTGACCAAACCAAACACACACAATCACCAGTAAACACCCTGTTTTCACAGCAGCACACAACCAAATAAACCCACACACACTGATAATAATCTAATAATCTCTGGGGGAATAAAGTATTTGAAGTGTTGTTTGATTCTTCAGTTTGGTTCACGTCTCATTAGTCTCCAGTCCTGCAGAGTTTTGATAAAGCTGGTCTTCCTGTAGTTTTGGAGAAACTCTTAAAGCTGGACTGGTTTGTTCAGATGTGTTTGATTGGGGTTTGAGAGAAACTCTGCAGGACTGAGACTCTTCAGGATCAAACTTGTCTCTCTGTACTGAGCGTGTCAGCTGAGCTTCACAACAGATCAGCATTTGCAGAAACTCTTGTTGTTTTGAGGAGGAACTACATCATCTAGAATCTCACCTGGAGCCTGAGCGGCCCTGACCACAACATCTGTATTTATAACAGTTATTGAGCTTCTGTAACTCCTCAAATCAACATTCAGCAGATGCCTTCATACAGATATCAACCGTAGATCAACAGAATTATTTTAGTGTTGAAATGCTCTTACCGTGCTGCAGTGTCTCAGTGTCGACGCTCAAATGAGATCCTCAGGTCTTCCTCTTCCTGGGTCTGTACAAGATCATCTTAAAAACACCAGAACATCTCCTGCAGTCGCTCTCATCTACAAAAGTCAAACAGCAGAATTCACTATTGTTCAGTGTTTGAGAGGGAAAATGTGAAAACACAATTAGTTTGCAGACAGAACTGAGTAAAACACTTTAAATGAGTGTCTGAGCATCACCTGATGAAGCTTTGCGGCTCTTAGTGTCACTTCCTCTTGTTTGCACAAACTCTATTTTCACTCATGAAGTGTTAACATGACATACGACACACTTAACCACATTCATATCCATCAGTGGACATTAAAGTGGGCGTTTAAGTGGGTCAGAGGCTGTTTCAGACAGACAACACAAGAGCTCTGCTGAAAGATTAAAATACTTCCTTAACACTAATAACTAAATGTTTGAATATATCAGAAATTGTGAAATAAGGATTATTATTATTATTACCTTAAACTTTAGTTAAACTTTAATCATCTTGTGGACAGAAAGATCAAGTGTGTTTTACTGCTGCTGCTGATTTTATGTGATGGAGAACCAAACAAAACCTAATATATATATATACACACTGGCGATCAAAATTAGAGAACAATTTATAAATAATTGAACAATTCTGAAATAATGTCATTTTCACCGCTCAGCAGTTGAAGGATTTTTTGTCTCGTCTATATCATGCTACCAGAACACCTTTTCCCCAAAATAACAAAGGCATTTCAACAAAAAACATTATTTTGCAGAAAACACACTGATCAAAATTAGACAACACTTTCAGATACCTCCCAGTTATTGGCGTCAGTCTGGCATCTGGTGCTAATTCCCTTGATTATCTGTCAACCCTTATTTACCTGGCAGCCTAACTTCCAGTTTCACTGACTCTGCAAGATGGTGGGCCTTTCTAAAGTGACTGAAAGCCTTCGGCAAAAGGTTGTCCAGATAAAGGCCTAAGGGATGACCCTATCAGCCATAGCAAGACAAGTTGGTTGCTCCAAACCTGTGATTTCAAGAATATTGATTCTTTACAACATCACAACTCATTCAAGTCTCTCAGGAAGGCTGGTCATCCACAGAAGAGAGGACAGGATACTGCGGAAGATCTCAATGGGCAATCGTTTTTACACTACAGCTGGAACTGCTCACTAGTTCGGCACTGAAAAGGGTAAAGATCTGTCTCGTCATACAGTGTCTTGACGTTTAAGAGCATTTGGACTGAAAGCCCACTCTGCAGTCACCAAACCTCTCATTAGCAGAATGAATCAAATGGCTAGACTAAGCTTTGCTGAGGAGCATGTTGTGTGGACGGAGGAGAACTGCTCTAAAGTTACTTCAGTGATGAAAGCAAGTTTAATTTATTTGGGTCCGATGGAAAACATTATGTTCGGCGACAAACTGGAGAAAGACTGAACCCAAAGTGTATAAAGAAGTCAGTTAAAAGTGGAGGAAGAAGTGTCATGGTTTGGGGCATGTTTTTTGCAGCAGGAGTTGGGTCTCTACAGGTAAATGGCAGAGTGAATGCAAATGTTTATCAGAACCTTCTTCAACAACATATGGTTGCTTCCCTGCATTCATTACCCAATCAGCCCACAGTGTTCATGCGGGAAAACGTGCCATGTCACACAGCAAAATGGGTAAAGCAGTTCCTTGAAACTGAAAACATTGAAAAAATTACATGGTCTGCCCAGAGTCCTGACCTCAACCCAATAGAGAACCTCTGGAAAATCTTTGGCGACAAAGTTATGGCCAAGAAACCCATTACAGTCACTGAACCGTCGAGAAGACTGGATGAAGAGTGGGCCAAAATCACACCAGAGCAATGTGAGAGACTAGTGCTGTCTTGTGGCCACAGATTTGCTGAAGTCGTTCAGAGCAGAGGCCTGTACACGTCCTACTAATTGCTGAGTGTTGTAACCTTCATAAAATTTTGCTGTAATCTTTTTCCATGCTACGGTCATTGTTGTTCTCTAATTTTGATCAGTGTGTTTTCTGCAAAATAATGTTTTTTGTTGAAATGCCTTTGTTATTTTAGGGAAAAGGTGTTCTGGTAGCATGATATAGACGAGACAAAAAATCCTTCAACTGTTGAGCAGTGAAAATGACATTATTTCAGAATTGTTCAATTATTTATAAATTGTTCTCTAATTTTGATCAACAGTGTATATGTATGTGTGTGTGTGTGTGTGTGTGTGTGTGTGTGTGTGTGTGTGTGTCTATATATATATACAGTATATATATGAACGACTTGTTAATCTGGTTAGCACTGTCGCATAAAGGGTCAGCAAAAGGGTTTCTGGATCGAGTCCCAGCTGGGTCAGTTTCTGTGTGGAGTTTGCATGTTCTTGTGGGTTTCCGGGTGCTCCAGTCCACACGCTTTATAGGGGGACTGGGTGACATAAATTGGCTGAAGTGTGTGTGTGTGTGTGTGTGTGATAAAATAAGGGACTAAGGAAAATTAATAAATAAATGAATGAAATTAGGACAGTCAAAGGCGTCGCAAAGAATTCTGGGCCGCTTTGGGATTTAAACTTTGGATTTAAATGGTCAACTCCACTTGTCCACTTCTCTGAATATGATATTAGTATATTTTACATTAATAAACACATTTTAGTCACTTATCTCGCTTTAAACAGCTGCAGCTTCTCTGTTCTCGCCGTTGCTCGTTTTAATGGAGATTATTTTGAAGAGAAGTCAAATTTTCTGTTACGGTGGGCGGAGCTACGAGTCACAGACGGTAATCTGATTGGTGTTTAAACATCTGCAGTTGTTAAAACTCATTTGATTGGCCATATTTTATCAGAATTTGTAAGGAAAATAGCGAATTTGAATTATTTATTAACTATTAATCAATATGTATTATAGTTATTAGCATATAAATCAGTTTCAGTATTGTGAATGTTCACTTCTGGCCTTTTATCAGATTTTATGAAACCGATAAAAGTCACTGGAGGACAATCTGAAAACACACATGAAATACAGTTACTGTAATCTTTAAATACACTACAGAAATGTTTATTATAAAATCAGACATTTTACAAAATAAAAAATACAGTAAAAACTGTCAATACAGCACTTTAATAGAAGCAGATACAGATTGCATTAAGATGAAAACATTGCTTAGCGGTCACAAGTTCACAAGTGAAGCAGACAATAATTACAAAATAATGAGAACAATACAGCAATTGCTAGTCTTAATATCTGAAATGTTTGCATAAGCATAAGAATCCTACTGTGTGAATAAAGTCTAATATGTGTTTATGAGCAGTCAGATGTTGATGAGCTCTAATGATGATCAGTTTCTGAGGAGCTTCAGTATTTGCCTGTATATGAGCAGTAATACAGCGAGGAGAGTTTAATGTGGATCTGCTGAAGCTCCTGCTACTTGTAGAGTCTCATATTCAGAAGATCTGGACTGAAGCTCAAGAGCCGTGTAGGTCTCATCATCAGGAGCTCTGGAGCCGACAGACTGTGAGAGAAACACATGAACACATCAGCCTGTGTTTATCTGGATCTGATCAATCTGACTGGAAAAGTGTTGCAGACATTTACTGACTGGGATTTTGCTGTAAACGTCAGCAGATCTTCTGGACGCTGGATCCAGAGCTGTGTACGTATCATCAGTGGAGTCAGCGCTCTATAGAGAAACATTTCTACACTTATACTGCATCACACACACACACACATCTGTGTTTATAATTCAGTGTAAACACACAAGCATATTGAACTGCAGCTGTAGATGGAGGAGTGTGTTTCTCACCTGCTTTTGCTCCACAGCTTCACTTCCAGCTGCTCTCCTCCTCTTAACACTGAAATGAGTCCATTTGTGTTACATTGGAGATGTTTCTTATAGTAAATTGACTAAGATTGTGTTCAGACAAACTCTACTCACCATATGAACACAATAATGAAGATGATGATGAAGATCAATCCTCCACATCCCGCCACAACCCCAGTAAGTGTGAGCAGAGCAGATCTCTGAACCCCTGAAACAAGACGCTGATGAAGATCATTTGACAGCAGAGACAGAAGAAACTGAAAGAGTGTCTGTTTCTAGAAAATACCTTCAGTGACTGAAACAGACTCTGATCTCTGAGAGCCATATTTATTCTCAGCCTCACAGTAGTATCGGCCACTATCTAGTGCACTAAAACTCTGTCCAGATCCAACAGCTGAGCTTTGGTTGTCTTTAAACCAGGTGAAGTTCACAGCAGGAGGGTTTGAGTCGCTGCTGCAGCTCAGAGTCACTGAATCTCCAGACACTATTACAGCAGATCCATTTATAAATACTGAGACATTCCTGGGAGGATCTGAAAAAGGAATAATTTGTTCACTAAAAACAATTAAATGTTTGTAAAATTGCTAGTAAACTAACATGATCAAAAAGGATCAATCTGTTTTGTTATAATACACTCACACATGACATTCAGCATCACAGGATCAGAGTGTTTCTCTCCATGTTTATTTCTGGCTCTACACTTGTATTCTCCACTGTGATCAGAGCTGATGTTTGAGATGCTGAAGATTCTTCCAGATCCTACAGATGTTTCATCTTTTAACCTGCTGAAGTTCAGTGCAGGAGGGTTTGAGTTACTGCTGCAGCTCAGAGTCACTGAATCTCCAGACACTATTACAGCAGATCCACTGACGGACACTGAGACGCTCTTTGGAGGATCTGAAAAATAATAACCATGTATTGACAATAAAAATGTAATGCAAGTAAAAGTCAATTAATAAAAACAGAGAATAAATAATATAAAAACTATCTATACTGGACATTTGATACTACATAAATTCAAGAAATTAAATAAAAGATGAAAATCTAAACCAGTGAACAGTAAATAAACCAGCATCACCGCAACAAGGGTGTCAAAGCACAAATACAATGAATGATGATAAAACTGACTTAATATTGGATTATCTTGAATAAATCAAGTCTCTAATAATAACAAACAAATGTCATGCGGCCTGTATAAAAAAATCAAAAAGGTATTTAATATATAATTATAATTATGCTTATGTGATACATTTCTACTATTAATCAGTCGATTTATACTCACATTCAACACTGAGATAAACAGGTGGAGAGTTCAGACGTTCTCCTGCTTTTCCTCTTGCAGCACATCTATATTCTCCAGCATCAGAGTGACTGACTGACTGCAGCTGAAGCTGATTATTCAGTGTTTCTCCAGTTAATCTCTCTGTGTTTCTGTACCAGATGAATGTAGTTTCTTCAGGCAGAGAGCAGCTGCTTTTACAGCTCAGAGTCACTGAATCTCCCTCTTTTACACATTGTTTTGTCTCCACCTGCAGGTCTGACAGAGAAATTACAACATGTAAATATAAACAGTAAATGTCCATGCAAATAGTATTTTTCAAAATTGAACATCAAATTGAAGTAGTTCAGATAGCATATAATGCCATAAACAAATGATGTTGCTGTTGTTCAGACGGCTGATACACTCCTGTAAAATAAAGAGCTGCTGTGTTCATGGAGACCTGAATAAAGTCCTGATCTCAGTTTATTTACCTGTGACATCAAGACGAGCTCCAGGAATCACAGTCCATCTATTATTCTGTGTATCTCTGAATCTGCAGTAGTAGATGTGTTTATCAGCTTCTGTTACTGCAGTCAAAGTGATGATTAAAGTGTTTTTATCTTCACTGACACACTGAATTCCTCCTCTTATGTCTGTATCTGTACACAGGTCTGGAGGTTCTTCACCAGTTACAGCAGGTTTGGTTGAGACAGATTGTATGAGCTGATAACCATAAACAGAATATGTTGAAGTACAGGATATTTTCACTGTTGATCCCTTTAATGCACAAACATATGAAGGGCTGTAATTCACTCCTGATTTCCACAGACCATAAACCCCTGAAACACAGACATGAGGAAAACTGATCAGACTATCAGCAAAAACAAAATCACAGAAATCTTTTGTTTTGCTCTCAAATATTTAAAACACACTGAAGATATCAGTTTGAGGAAAGCTTTACATGTTCACTCAAATTAATTTAAGAAACTCCACATGTGAGATATTTCACTCGTGTTCTTGTTTATACTCACTTCCTACTTTGACATAAACAGCAGGAGAGATCAGATGTTCATTTCCTCCTACAGCACACTGATAATATCCAGCATCAGAGCCTCTGACTGACCACAGCTGAAGCTGATTCTTTGTTCTGATTCCTTCATTTATTGTCTTTGTGTTTCTGGACCAGATGAATGTAGTTTCTTCAGGCAGAGAGCAGCTGCTTTTACAGCTCAGAGTCACTGAATCTCCCTCTACAACAGTCTGCTGTGTCTCCACCTGCAGGTCTGACAGAGAAATGACAGCAGTTCATTGGTTTATCATTCTGTTTATGTTCTGAACCTTCTTTCTTCTCCAGAATACTTTTCATTTATGAACATTTCTTGTTTTGTGGAGAGCTGTCATAATATAATGTCATAAAAATGAATATATAAACAAACATAAAAGCAATCACATATTTAACAAGGTTTAGTGAAATAGAGAGTATAGTTTTTTATTTGGTACAAATGTAAAAAAATTCATAGAAGCTTAGTAACATAAAATCCAACTGGTGGCTGGCTTTGACTTTGCTTCATTTATGCTGTCAAAATAAGAGTTCCACATACAGTACATAGTAAGTTTAATATAAACTTTGATGAACATAAAAAACAAGGGAGGGAAATACACTCATGGAATTTACATGACAGCTAAAAAACATTGGAGTTTGAGGCTCACAGTATGGTCATTTCCATGTACTGAACTCTTATTATTTGACTATACCTAGGTATTCGCAGATTTTCTTTAAAGGGCACCTTTAAATCAGCTTTGCTTTTGTTCTTATGTTTATATGAGTGAATCTGAATCTGAACAGCAGCCTGAGAACAATCAAGAATGTTCATTTTTAATTCATATTTCACATTTCCTGACTGGTTTTTGGCTTTTCTAAATGGTGCACTTGTATTTTTTATGATCATAAACAAACCCTCCTGAACACTTGGCATATTTCATTAAAATTCATAATTTTTAGTCTCTTTTGCAATGTTTAATAAAGCAAAGTTCACTATTCTTCTGGACTGGATCTGGACTCTGAATCTGGACTTAATTTATTCATGTTTTTGTTAAGAAACATGAAGATCCACAGCAAATACAGAAAGATTATAAAGTGTTGGCTGTGTGTGTTTCTGATAGTTCTGCTTCTACCTGTGACGTCCAGCTGAACTCCAGGAATCCCCGTCCATTTTCCACCCTCAACATCAGTAGTGAATCTGCAGTAGTAGATGTGTTTATCAGCTTCTGTTACTGCAGTCAAAGTGATGCTGGAAGTGTCTTTATCTGCTCTGACACACTGAACTCTTCCTGTTTTATCAGGGTCTGAACACAGGTCTGGTGCTTCTCCATCAGTTACAGCATGTTTGGTCCAGTAGACTGATCTGAGCTGATGATCATGAGGATATTTTACAGTACAGGATATTTTCACTGTTGATCCCTTTAATGCACAAACAGATGAAGGGCTGTAATTCACTCCCCAACCCTGCTGACCATCAGACCCTGAAACACAGACATGCACAAAACAAACATTTATAAACTAGTTTAAAAGTAGATTAAAGGCTTCTCTTTGAGTAAAGCATATACACAATCCATCCCGTAAGTTTATGTCCAGTGAAATGCATCTCATCAAATGCATCCTTTCATATTCACATTAATATCTCATTTAAAATATTAACAGCAGCTACACCAATTCTCTTTTTCAACCCAGACTCATCATGGATACGTACCACGGTATGCATTTCTGTAGAGAGCAAAATACGTCCCAGGAAGTACGTTTTTTTTTTGTTGTTTTTTTTGTGCAGTTTTTTATATTTGCAAATCTGCCAGAGGCCGTATGTGTGCACTTTTTCAGATCTCAAATTTCTCTTACAAATGCCAATAATAATACATTAAGATGTATAATATAAATAAACCGCATATACGTCACCTCTTTGAAAAGTACACATTATTGTATAACTGCAGGTTGACTATCTATATACTGTCCACCCTATACACAGCACACTAACTCTTGCTGATTTTGATTGTAAATAGTGTGAATCTTTGTGAAGCTACTTTAGAATGATCATTATTGTGAAAAGCGTTAAACAAATAAACTTTTAAAATTGATTTGAATTTTTTTGTGTGTCAGTTTTTAAATTTTTTTTAAAATTTAATCACTTTTGACCTTTTTTATTGTCTCTGTCAGTAAAACACTGCTGTCAGTTTCTGAGACACAAAGTGTGAGGAGCTCAGTCAGCTTCTCAAGAGTGTTAAAGTTTGTCTATAGTGACTGTAGTGAAAACTCACCCGCAGTCATGATCACTAAGATCAGAGGAAGAGATGCTCTGAAAGACCTCAACATAGTGACTTCTGCAATCCTACAAATGACAAATATGACAGTATGAGCATCATCTCTACACAACAGCACAAACTCTATTGTGTGAACAGACTGTAGATGGAGAACAGGATCATCTCTGACATGATCTGACTTTACTAAACACGCTAGTAAAGCAAACACATGATCATAATCCAGCATGAACAGAACTTTCTAATAATCTGTGGGGAAATAAAGTATTGTAAGTGTCCTTTGATTCTTCAGTTTGAGTGAGGAGGAACTACATCATCTAGAATCTCACCTGGAGGCTGAGCGGCCCTGACCACAACATATGTATTCATAACAGTTATTGAGCTTCTGTAACTCCTCAAATCAACATTCAGCAGATGCCTTTATACAGATATCAACTGTAGATCAACAGAATTATTTTAATGCTGAAATGCTCTTACCGTGCTGCAGTGTCTCAGTGTCGATGGTCAAATGAGATCCTCAGCAGCTCAAGCGGTCACACGAGCACATGTTTTCACACTTTACAAATGTGCTGTTAAATATTTGTCTTCCTCTTCCTGTGTCTGTACGAGATCATCTTAAAAACACCAGAACATCTCCTGCAGTCGCTCTCATCTACAGATGTCAAACAGCAGAATTCACTATTGTTCAGTGTTTGAGAGGGAAAATGTGAAAACACAATTAGTTTGGAGACAGAACTGAGTAAAACACGTTAAATGAGTGTCTGAGCATCACCTGATGAAGCTTTGCAGCTCTTAGTGTCACTTCCTCTTGTTTGCACAAACTCTTTTCAC